TGAACCTAGATGATTAGGAGGGTTATGGTGCCATCAACAGAAATAAGGAAATTGGGAAGAAGGACAGATGCAGTTTGAGATGTGTTGAATTTAAGGTGCTGTTAGGGCCTCCTGGTGGAAATGCTTGGGAAACAGAGTTAGGCTCAGGAGAAAAATAACAGGTAGAGCTACAGGTAATCATCTGTTTAGAGGTAATAATTAGATAGCAGTAAACAAAATTGCCAAGGCAAAGAATATAAAAAGAAGACTGAGGATAAATCTGAGGTTGCCCACAATCAGGGAGACTAGGAAGAGAAAATATCAAATGAGTTTAAAAGGGGGCTATCTGAAGAGAACCAGTACAAAACAATGCCAACAATGCCACTGGAGAAGATGGTATCAAGAAGGGGTTGTTAGTTTCAAATACTGCAGAAAGGTCAAGATAGATGAGTTAGAAAAACCTACCAGAACATGGCAATTTGGAGGTCATTAGTGACCTTGAAAAGAATGGTTGGCTGGGAAATCAGATACGAGGATTAAGGATTGGGTAGATAAAGAAAAAGCAGAACAATTAGTATAGATTACTTCTTCTAGAAGTACTTCACATGGCTATGAAAGGGAAGAGAAACATGGGACAATAGTTTAAGGGACCAACAGCATCAAAAGGAGGATTTTGACCAGAAGAAGAGTCACTTTACTCTCTGAGATGTGAAAGAAGATAGCTAAGGACAGACAAAGATTTAAGGAAATGAAGAAACATAGTTGAGAAAAGACAAGAAATATAGCTTTAAGGTGCTATCAGTAAAATTTCTGAGGCAAAAAAAGAAGGGGCAAAGAAGAAAAGAACAAAATAAAGCTCAGGTCAACTGAGCAGTCACTTTGAGGTGGGTGATGGAATAAATGAAAGAAAATGTGGTTATGAGGACCCAGGTGAAATCAGGATAAACTCAATTAGCCCAATTTCATGACGGGCAAATGGTAAGGAAAAGGTAGCTTACTTATACTTTTGCCAAGCCCTAACTCAATCTTTAATTAAGTACAGCTACGCTTAGCTTACAAAAGGGCTCTGTTCCAAAAGTTTGTTTGCAAGTGAGTTGTTTGGAGCTCTAAGTGCATTTTCTCCTTGAAAAAATGTTGTATTGGATGGTTCTTTCCTAGGCCAACCCACAAAATTCCAATTTAATCCAAAAGGTACCAGAAATTTAGTACTGGCCTCATGACTCTGGGCAATTCACTTAATAGTTCAGTGCCCTAGGCAGCTAAGAGTACAAATTGTAGAGAAGGTACTAGCACTAAGAGGGACTGGGAAAGACTTCTTACAGAAAGTGAGATTTTAGCTGAGTCTTGAAGGAAGCCAGGGAAACCAGGAAGTGGAGATGAGGAGAGAAAGGCAAGCCAAGCCAAGCACGGAGAACAGCCAGTGAAAACAGACAGATCTGAGAGATAGTGTATTGTGCAAGGAGGCTAGTCACTGGATTTGAGAGTATATGGAGAGGAGTAAGGTTCAAGACTGGAAAGGCAGGAAGGGGCCCAGGTTATATTTGATCATGGAGGTTAATAAGAAACCACTGGAGTGTCTGTGTGTGTGAGAGAGATACGTCCCTTCTTCCTACTTTCCTTATTACTGTCTGGGGCACCACCACCCTTTCCAGTCACCCAGGCTGGCAACCTAGGTGTCATGCTGGACTCCTTACTCTAAGTCATCCCTCATATTCAATCTTTTGCCAAGGCCTTATGATTCTGCCTTTACATTGCTTACATATACCTCCTTCTCTCTTCTGATATTGCCACCACCCTGGTCCAGACCCTCCAAACCTCACACCTGGATTTCTAGTTGCTCCCTGCCTCAAGTCTTGCACTCCTCTAGTACACTCTTTACTCACTATCAAAGTGATCTTCCTAAAATGCAGGTCTGACCATGTCATTCCCATATTCAATGAATACCAATGGCTCACTACTGCCTCCAGGATTAAAAATAAAATCCTCTGACTTTGAAAACCCTTAATAATCTGGCCCCTTCCTACCTTTTCAGTCCTCTTACACCTTATTCCCCTCCATGTACCATTCAATCCAGTGACACTGGAATCTCCGTCCCCCCCACCCTTAGAATGTAAGCTTTATTAGGGTAAGCAATGTGTTTTTGCCTTTGTTTGAATCCCCAATGCTTAAAACATTACCTGCCACACAGTAAGCTCTTAATAAATGACTGCTAACTGACTGACAATGATTGGCATCCTTACTATTTCTCAAAGATGACACTCCATTTCTTATCTCTGGGCATTTTCACTGGCTGTGTGCCCTATGCCTGGTACACTCTTCCTGTTCATTTTCACCTCCTAGCTTTGCTGGGTTCCCTCAAATCTCAGCCAAAGTTCTACTTTCTTTAAGAAGCTTTCCCCACTTCTCCATTATAACAATAATAACTGTGTGGTGTTTACTGTGTGCTAGGCACATAGATAGGGCACACAGACAAGCAAAGCAGCCTCAAAAAGCTTATATTCTAATACAATTCTCTGCAGAGAGAAGCTAGAATTGGATAGGTGAAGCACAAGAGGTACATGTACTGTAGTTATCTCCAGGCCTGGAAGTGGAGGGCCTGCTCTCTACTTTATCTGCTAAGATAAGGTGAAATTTCACCAATTTACGGGATGCTGATCAGACTACTCATCTCAAATACCTTCTATGGCTTCTACTACCTATCAAATAACCTCTAAATTTCTTCAAGTCTCTCCAGTGAATAAAATCTCTCCACTTAGACACTAGTTAGGTCACCACTCAAGGCTACTTGAAAGTCTGAGCCGTACCTACCTTTCAAATCTTATCTCCAAGTACATAAGCCCTGTGGTTCACGTTCTATTCTCTCTATAAACCTTGCACATTCAGCCTTTGAGTATGTGCTTATGCTATTCCCACTTCCTAAAATGCCAGTCCCTCACCTCAGTCTGGACCTCTGGCCTCCATGCTACTCCCCTTTTCAAGGCCTAGCTCAGTTGCCATCTCCTCCATAAATTCAACTCAACAAACATTTTATGAAATGCCTATTTCGTGCAAGATATCGTGTTAGGCACTTGGGATATAAAGAAAAAAACTAAATAGCACTCATGCTCAAGGAGTTGGAGGGAGAGATGGACACAAGACACAACAGGTACAAAAATAAGCAAATATAAAGTCATATAAAGTAATTTCAAGAGGGAGAGAGTGCTAATCACTGAAACAATCAGGAAAAGCCTCAAACAGCACTTCAGTTCTATGCTGAAGGAAGCTAGAAATCCTGTGAGATAGAAGGGAGAAGGGAATTTATTCCATAGACCAGCCATGACTAATGTAAAGGCACAAAAGCAGCATGAAACATCATGGCGAAAGAACAGTTAGCAAGCCTGTCTGACTAGCATTGAAAATATAATGAAACACAACTGGAAATGCTGATGGAAGGTAGATTAGGAAGGCTTTTAAAACACCAAGATGAGAATCTGGATTTTATTCTAGAGGCAACAGGGAAGCCTTCCATCCATTTCCTTCTTACATTTTCTTTTGTACTTAATGAGTGCTGAATGAAACTTAATTCTCTGAAGCTTGAAACCTCCAAGTTATGCATGCTTTTCCACCTTTTGATAAATAACAGAAAGTAAGGGTTAAGGGAAAAGGAAGAGTTGAGGAGTATGTCAAAAATTATGATTTCTGTGATCAGAAAAGGGTTAAGAATAAATGTTTGACTGTAAACTCTTCGAAGGTTGGCGTTGTGACTTATTCCCCATCCATCTTTTCCAATCAAAATCTTCCCCTTCAAGTGTAAGATTGGGAGCTACAGTCTTTTCCATGAAACTTTTCTGGATCACTCTAATTTTAAGCAATCTTTCCTTCATATTTCATTTTTCAAAACCTGTCCTATGCTCTTGTCAAATAACTTGCATTCTAGTTATTTATGTGTTAGTCTTATTATCTAGCTACTAGATAAGCTCCCTAGGGACAGTGACATCATCTTCTTTTAAATTTGTAGTCGTAGCACTCACCCAGTGGCATGAAGGTACTTAATAAATGATTAATAGATACTTGTAGAAAGGTCGATGGACTAGAGCTGTGTTCAAAACCTGACGCTGGCCAAATCTCTTAGGTTCTGAGACTAAATTTCTTCATCTGTATGATAAGGGGGTTGGGTTCAATGGCATTCTATGATTCCTTGCAGCTCTCAATCTATTTTCCCGTGAAATGTTTGTGAACTAGATAATTCATCTATTTCCCCACAGCACCTGGCCCAGTGCCCTTGTACATAGCAAGTCTTCAATGGATGTTTGCTGAATGCGTTAATACTAAAGTTTGCTCTTCCTCTACAGCTTCCTCCTCTCCTCCCTTGCCTCCCAACTCCTCTCCACACTAATTCCCTATTTCCATCTACTTGCATCCGGGGTGCCCCGGGGGCAAACCTTAGTGGTGGCAGAAGGATGGCACTAGATGCTTCTGGAAGGGAGGTGCCTCCCCCTCTATTCAGCTCACCTTAAGTCTCTACAGGGAAGAAGCTTAGAGTGAGGCAGGAGGTTGTGTCTCAGTGGGAATGAAGGAGGAAAGAAAGGAGAGAGGAGAAGAAGAGGAGCAGGAAGGAGAGGGGGAGGGGATAGGGAGAGTAGGGAAGAATGGGAGGGAATATGGGGGAAGGAGAGGGAAAAGAAAGGGAGGAGACAAAAAGGGAGGAGGGAAGATGGGGAGGAGAAAGAGGGGGCGGGACCGGAGCGAAGGGGGAGGGGTGGGTTTGGAAAGGGGAGGAGGGAGAGTTAGAGGGGCGGGGGGAGGGATGGAGCAGCAGCCCCCTCCCACACGGAAGCTCCCCTGGGAGGGGCTACAACCTCCGCCTCCGCCCCCCGCAGGTCCCTCCCAAGGTGCCTCGCGGCTGGGAAGTGACCGAGGCGATCCTGGCTGGAGAGGCTCCAGGAGGACCGCGTGTCACCCCAGATTCTAACCTTCTTTCATCACTCTTTAAAAAAAAAAAACCAAAAAAAAACCACACACAAAAACGCTCCGGGGCTCACCTCCGTCCCAGACTCCGCCCTCCGGAAGTCGCCGCTCATCGCCCCTGCGGCTCTAGAGACCGGAGAGTCAACTTTCCCTCCTTCCGCGCCATTTAATGATTCCCGGGCTGGTGAGCCCCGGGAAGCGCAGCAGCCCTCCGGCGCGCATGCGCGCTGCGTGAGCGGTGCCCGAGGGAGGAGGGGTCCTGCGCACGCGCGTTTTCGGGGCCTGGGCCTCCTCTCCGCCCCAGTGCTGGTCTCGCTGCCTCCTGGCCCCTCCTCCCCCAGTCTGACATCTGGACTCTGCTCCCCTGCGGCAAGTGTAGTCGGTCTCCAGGGGAGATGAACTGAAACAGACCGTGATACTGTTTCCTTTTTTCGTCCTCAAAAATCAGCTAACATTTATTGGATAATTCGAGGAACTTTGTGGAATGTTTACCATTTAATATACGCTCCATAAATAAGTAGGTCTTTTTTCCTCCATTCTTAATAAGTATGCAATTTTATGTGCATATTTTTAATGGTTACTTTTTAAAAGTAAAATTATATATATATATTATATATTGATAAAGTTTCCTTCACAAGGTGTCCCCACACCGATGAAATCGCACATCCAGACAAAAATAGAAATAAATGGACGATGTAGCATACCTTAAGCTTCTAGAGTGACAGAGCATTGGAGGGGGAAAAAGAGGTGCAGGTGCTTGATTAGTAGAGAAATAGCTGCTCATTTGCAAACACTCGTGCCCAGTTTAAAGGAGACAATTTCGAGTTTGATGCTTTTTCCACTTCCCCTTTCCCCCAGTCAGTCATCCTGCCCTATTTGTCTTCATTCATTCAATAAATATTTATTAAGAGTTTATTAAGGATACCATGTGTGATACATATGTACTATCCTTTGTTCAATTCCTGAAGGGTTTTGCTCTCGATATCTTTGCAGCTTTTGACTGAAGACCACCCCTCTTCTCTTAAGACACTCAACTGTCTTGGCTTCTGTAACACCTACCTGTTGCACCAATTTTCTTGCTAGTTTCCTTTGTTAAATCATCGTCTCTGACCCACCCAGTGTTTTATCACACATTTCAACCACCTCCATCACTCTGTCTTAGATGTTCTGCTTTCCTTACACAGGTAAACTTAATTGGTAATTCCATCAGCTCCAATTGTCACCTTTGCTGATGACTCCTAAATCTAAATATCTTTAGCCCTAAAGTAACCTCTCCTGAACTCCAGTCCAGTATTATGTATTGTCTGATGGACATCTCTACCATATCCCAAAGACGTCTCAACTCAAGTTACTTCCCACACTTACTCACCTTCCAAACATCACCATTTTTTTTGAATGAATGAAAAAGTATTTATTGAGCTCTTCCTCTGTGCAAAAAGCTAGGGCTCCAAATTAGAAAATTGAAGAAACTCCTCCTTTGTTTTTCTTTTAAAAAAATTTTTTTTTATTCTGAACTTAAGAAAAAACCCAAACATTACTATAACAAATTAGAATGGAAAAAAAGAGGATTGCACATGAAACTGCAAATCTGTTATGTACAACCTGCTTTTCCTTTTAAATATAATTTTATTTTTTCCCCTCCCTTTCTTCCCTTCCAATGGTAGATAGCTACCATTAGACAAAAATATGTATGTGTGTGTGTGTATGTATGGAAAATCATATTATACATACTTCTATTTATCAGTTCTTTCTCTGAATGCAGTTAACTTCTTCCTCCATAGGTCTTTTATAGTTAATTTGGGTATTTATAATAGTCAAAATGATGTAATTGCTCAAAGTTATTCTTAAAACAATATTGCTGTTACTGGATATAAAGTTCTCTTGGTTCTCATTTTGCTCTTCATTATTTCATGCAAGTCTTTCCATAAACTGCCTATACCCTTTCATCCCCATTTTTGTTAAGGGCAGTGCTGTCTTTTTGGTCACCCAGGTTTGCAACCTGGGAATCATCCTTGGTTTTTCCCTTTTTTGTCAGCTTTCCATATCCTTCCTATCCTATGCCAAGCCTTGTTGAACCTACCTCCACAATGTCTATTGACTTCTCTCTACTCAAAAAACCATTTCCTTACTTCGCTCTCATTATCTCTCATCTGGACTTTTGCACTGGACTCCTATGTGGTCTCCCAACATCTAGTCTTTCCCCTCTCCAACCCATCTTAAACTGTTGCCCAAAGATACTGAAAACATTCCCCCAATTCTAAGTTCCCCTTCCATTATGGTGACTTTTTAAAAATATACTTCTTATGTCAACTTATTTGAGAATCTTGGCAGAAAGTAAGCTCCTCAAGGGCTTCCCCACCCCAGGGGCTAGCACTATACCAGACAGCTAATAGGTGCTTATGTTTTTTGATTAAATGATTGATGTACGGACAATTCTAATTGTCCTTCAAGCCAAGTTTGGATAAACACTTCCTTCGATTCTTATTTAGCTACTGGTTAGATTTGATGCCTTCTGAGATTCTTAACAACTCTTGAGATTCTGTGATTCTGAACCCACAAATTAAAAAAGTCTGCTCTTCTAAAAAAATTATTGTGATATGATCAATGGTTTGTTTTCTCATTGCTTCTGGTTTAAATCCAATTTTGTGCTTTGGAATAAAGCAATAATTCATCATTTCAATTTCCTTTCCACATGTCACATCTCATTAACTCCTCACTCCCAAAATGCTTCCACTGAACAGAAAAGAAGCTTAAATATTCGCTTTGTTAATGTGCATACATTAGGCATTGATACAAGGAAGAAAAGATAGGGTGACCACAGATTATGGTGTGGAGAAAGAGACTAAAACTTAGCATAAGCACCACCCCATTAGAGAGCAAATGACTGTCTGAATGTTGGCAAAACTATCAGTCAGCCAAAAAAACATTTAGAGCCTTTATTATTATTAGCCCTTACTATGTGCCAGGCACTATGCTGTAAGCATTGGGGATGCAAAGACAGGTAAAAGACAAACCTTCCTCTCAACGAACTCACACTCTAATGGAGGAGACTACATGTGACTGGGGTGTAGCCTGGGTATCTTTGCTGGATTGATAATTTTTTTTAGCACTTGGCAGTCTGCTGAGGGAGCTAGCATCCTCATTCCTTGAATACTTTTTGTTGGTCACTTTGTGCTTCTTTTTACTTAATCGTTAATGAAGTAGATAATAATAAAGCTTCTGAAGTTCAATTAATGTTTATCCTTGAATGAAAGGCATAGTAATAATAATATCTACCTTGCAGGATGAAACCAAATCATTCCCAACCTTGATTGTGATGATGATATAATATGAGTGAATATAAGACCAGGCCCTATACTCTTATTGTCTAGAACCTTTATATTTTGGTACTTTGTTATATCCAATCTAAAAGCTTATTATGAAATAGGTGACTTGGGGCAGCTAGGTGGTGTAGTGGATAGAGCACTGGCCCTAGAGTCAAGAGGACCTGAGTTCAAATACGGCCTCAGACAACTTGACACTTACTAGCTGTGTGACCCTGGGCAAGTCACTTAATCCCATTGCCTAGCCAAAAAAAAAAGAAAAAAAGAAATAGGTGGCTCTAAAATAATGTCACTTTGTTTTTTGAGAAATATATATGCCACTTTTGTTTTTGAGAAAAATATATACATATTCAGGTTATATACTAAATACATATATATTCATTTGTAGAGAATCTCATGAAATCCTAGAGCTGGAACGGTCCTTAAAGGTCATTTAGTCCAAGACCTACCTAAAGCATGAATAAATCCTGTCTCTATCTATCACAAGTGATCATTCAGTCCTAGCTGAAAGATCTTCTGTGACCAGCAACTCACTATGAACCAGGCAGCCCTTTTTATCTTACATAAGCACAGATCTTATCATATCATTCCACCTTTTAAAAACTCTTTAATGTGACTCCCTATTATCTATCAACTAAAATTCAAACTCATTAGCTTGAAGGGCCTTCTTCTACAGCTCCCTCATATGTACTTACCTTATCTCACTATAGGCCATGCTCTAGCCAAAAAGTTAAGAATAACATTTCTGTATGTTCTAGTGGAATTTCTAAACCCTCTAGGTAAGTGGTTTTGAACCCCTAGAGGGTGTAAGAATTACTGGAGGAGTTCGTCAAATCCAAAACAGTCCTTCTGTCATTAGCAGTTTTCTCAATCTATAGATACTAATTGTACAACTACTACCATATAAGGATATGCAAAATATTTTGACTTTATAAAAGGAAACCTCCTACTTGAAAAAGGTGGAAACTATTGCTCTAGGTTTTAGTGCCATAAATTATGTGTGATTGAAAGACTCAGACAGAATTGGTTTGAATTTAATTATTCTATTTTGGGTTGTTAGAGTGCCAAAGTAAGCATTCCCATTGGGCAGATGGCAATGTGGAGTTTGAAAGTCTGAAACTTGTGCAACAGAATTGCCAATTCCATAAAAATATGACACTAATAGTAATAATAGCTAATATTTATATAGTACTTGCTATGTCCTAGGAACTGGGCTAAGTGCTTTACAATTAGTATCTTTTTTGATCCTTACAACAGGTCTGGGAGGAAGGTGCTATTATTATCCTGATTTTACAGATGAAGAAACTTAAGCAAACAGAAGTAACTTGCTCAGGGTCATGCAGGTAGTAAGGAAGGAAATGGAAGTTGTGAATGAACAATAATGACTTGGTCTGCTTTTTTAAGGGAGGGGTCATTTATTAAGGTTTCCCCTTTATAACTTCCATTCTTAAAGCCTCAGAAATATTTCTTACTAAACACTATTTTTTTTCCTCTTTGATAGTCTTCAGTAGGTGTCTGTAATGTATGACTTCCAATTATGTCCATCCTTTTTCTTTTCTCCTATATTTATAATCACATTTGAATAAATATTAATCTGCAACCCAAAAACATGGTTCTTATGTGCTGATGATATTAATGGATAAATATGTTATCATCCTTATAAGGAGAAAAGGATTAGAAACCAAAAGAAAACACCTATAACAAAATATGTATATATATATATATATATATACATATATATATACATATATATATATATATATTTTTGGTTAGGCAATTGGGGTCAAGTGACCTGCCCAGGGTCACACAGCTAGTAAGTGTCAGGTCAGATTTGAACTCAGGTCCTCCTGACTCCAGGGCTAGTGCTCTATCCACTGCGCCATCTAGCTGCCCCTATAACAAAATATTTTTTTTTATTCTTTTTATTAATTTATTTGTTTTTAGTTTTCAGCATTCATTTCCACAAGATTTTGAATTCCAAATTTTCTTCTCGTTTCGTCCCTCCCCACCCCAAGATGGCATGCAT